TGCTGCCCGCACAGCTGTCTCCCTTGTAGGTGATCGTCCTGTCTGGCTGCAACTTGAAAAATAACGCTGTCTCGTCAGCGTTAAACACATCCTGTGGTAAGTAGCTCTCCAAGTACTGCTGCAGGGTGTCGCTTCTCCAAGTAGCGTATGTTTCGGCGTCCACTTCCTTTGCCTCGCCGGATAACGTGCGGAATACGAGATTGTGCCGCTCCCTGAAACGATGAAACCATCCCTCGGAGGCGACAAAGTCTTCAATGTCCAAGCGCAGGGCGAAATCGGCTGCCTTGGCCACGATGATAGGGCCGCTCAATGCGATGCTCTGGGCTCTTATTTCTTTAAACCAGATAATCAAAGCTGACTCCAGTTCCGGGAACTTCGCTGTCTTTAGCCTTTTTCGACTGGCGCCAAAATCCTCGGCTTCATAGGCGTTTTCAATGGCCGTCTTGTTGCGTATGTAGGTTGACAACGTGTTCGGAGGTATGCCGTGCTTCCTCGCAATTTCGTACTTGCTCGAGTTCCCTTGGTCAACCTTTCGCAAAATCTTCACCTTCTCCTTGACAGTCTTCGCGCAGTAGTTTCCCCGCGGCATCTTGCAACTTCGATGCGGAATAAGACGGCTTGACGGCGTGAACGAACAACGTGCTCGAGGAACAAAGTGACACTGCCAGGAGCGGCCTAGGACTGCTAGGACTACTCCGCTGACTCCTCAGCGTCCCGTGGGTCCCGCGTACAAGTGGCGCCAGGCGCTGAGATAGCGGGGGGGCTACGAAAAAAAAAAATTGCTCCCTGAATTTTGGAGGCCATACTTTGCTCGCCCTTCGCTCGGAGGCCACTTGAAGCTCAAAAAAACTGGTCGTGCCACCTATTGTTCGACCGTAAAAGCTTCCACTAGTGTTTGACGATGATGACGCTCGGCCACTGTGGCTCGGCGGCGCGCGCTTCGAATTATCCGTAGGGGCAGCAATTTCTGTTCGAATTAACGAATCGTTTTACACATGGTCTCCTATGCACTGCAGACCGGACTGCGGCGACCATTTCGAATTATCCAAAATTTCGAATTAATGAGGTGTGAATTAACGAGCTTTCACTGTATTAGTGTTCGAAATGTCTTTCGGCTTTACTTTTAGTGGTACCCCTCAGCACACTGCTTAAAAAAAGAATACATCACACTCACTAGCCTCAGCCACTAGCCTAGCGCAGTCCGACAGCCTGTGAAAGACCCTGAAGGTTAAAATTAATGTACTTGATAATATTAAGATGGAAATAGAAAAAAATGTTGAAAGACCTCCCCTGAGCTTCCGAACTTCTAGTCTAGTGAAACTACGTAATAAGCAAACTGAATATTCTTTGTTTTGTGTAATAAAATTTACTGTAAACTACAGTCGTGCTCCTTAAATTTTGTGACAGGTCATTGAAAAGTCTTTGAATTTTTCTTTTGGAAGCCTTTACGAACCATGGTCAGAAGTGTCATGATGATGTTGGTGCAACAAGATGAATTTTGTGATGCTCTTTATGTGTTCGGGAGTGCCTTCTATTTCTCCCTGCTTCCCCATGGACACTTCACGACAGTCCCCCAGACTAATGCATTTAACACCAGATATATTGCCACAAGCTATTTGGAGGATTTAAAGTCAGCCTCCCGTGGCCTTTTCATTCTTGGAATCCTCTCTCGCTTTAACTTCAACTTTAACTTTGAGATGCGGTGTATTGCAAACATTTAGTCTACCAATCTAGATTTTCCTCTACATAGTAAAGAGGAGGTAAAAATTAGATAGGTTGCATGTGATTTTGTAATAAGCAGTGCAAAAAGGACCATGGGCAAAGATGGGGCTAATCGCATGTTCCTCCTTGGCTTCCCTTACTTGTTTCCTGTGAATTACGCCATAGTGTGCCTCAGGTTTTTCAAAAAAAAGCACGTCTTCTTGTGGTGCACTGCATGTCTGGGCACACTTTTCGGCTGAGCTGCCAATGTCGCTTAACGCAGTAGCAATGCTAATTCTGTTGGGTGACTGTAGCAAAAAGCCAGTCAAGTGCAAGTCTTTCACCTGCGAAGTCGCAGCTGCTTGCTTCGGTCTGTCTGCCATGTGATTGTGATCACAACACAGAGAAATGCGCACTCATTGACACCAAAGAAAATGCGGCATGTGCAACCTTTCCTAAATGGGAGCACTAAGTTTGCACAACTTATCCGGTTATTAAACCACTGGCTCTTGTCTGTAGTGAAATTTTTTGCTCAGATTTTGCTGGGGATTTTGAGTGACGTCACGCTTTCAGGCACTATGTTACTCTTCTTGTTCACATTGAATTTGAAGTGGGCACATTGTACGACATGAAGTTGCGCAGGAAATTGCAGTACAACCAAAACGGTTTAGTGCCACTGTATGTCGTTGCCACAGTGAGTGTTATTAACATCATAGCAGTGATGATTGACGGCAAATAAGTTAGTTTCTCCTATCTCACAAACAACAAAATATAAGAAAGCTGCAGATATATTTTCTGTTTATAATGGATCATTCCACAGTAACTGTTCCAGCCTTGGCACTCAACTATCTGCGGTTTGCATTAAAAAAATGCAGGACTATCGAACTAAAACGAAAAGTAGTCCCCCAAAATTTATTTTCTAAAAAAAGTTTTTCAGTACCACAAGCCTCACATTCGAATTTTTTTCAGAAAGCTCAAAAACATAGCTCGTAAAACATGTAAAAAAAATTGTTCTTCCTGAATTGAGATCAAATTTTTATCTTTAGAACAATGGTAGGCTTTTTACTTACAAGAAGTGTTACGAACTTTTACGCTTTCGTGGGTTTTTAGGGGCGACACTGTTTAGGGTGTGAGTCGTTCCTTTCTCTATAGTATGTATGTAGCCACTTCTAGTTTATAAGTTGCTCACTAGATGTCGTTGTGTGTGTATGTCCTTGGAAATGAATAAGGAGGTTCGACAGATGGACGGATGGATTTTTTTTATGCACCCTTGAATACAGAAAATGTGTTCCGTATTGGAGATTTTTTTTATAGAAAGACAACATTAAGCAAAATGTGACAGTTGGCATTAGCACATTGCCTAAACAATTTTCTGTGGACTAAAAATAATTTCAGGTGTATATAGTGTGCAATAAAGTGTAGAGCTGGTGACAAAGTTACAAAAAATGGTTATTTTTGCACATGTTTGGCTATAAATGCAACATTGAGGCATTACTAGTAAAAATGTGTGCTATAGCATACTTACTAGCAACCTTCATTGCCTGCTCACTCAGAATGTTTCATCAAATTGCTCTTTGTTTTAACCGAGAAAAATATTTTTGAATTGGTGTGTTATCACCCTCTGTGTTTGCACGTGTTCATACGCCATAGCAATGTGTCCTAGTAGTAAGGACTAGCTACATCCCCAATATGAGCCATATTCTCTGTATTCAAGGCCACATTAAAACTCACGAAAGCATAATATTTTGTAAAACTTATTTAAAGTGAAAATCCTACCACTGTTTTAAAGGTAATAATTTTTCTTGACCTAATTTAGGAAGAACAGATTTTTCAATGTGTTTTAGAAGCCATGGTTTGAAGCTTTCTGAAAAAATTCACGTGAAGCTCGCGGAGTTGGATATTGTTTTTCGCAAAAACTGTTTTGGGAGAGCACTTTTGGCTCTAGGTAGATAGTCCTGATTTTTTTTTTTTTTCTTTAGCAAGTCGCATATGGTAGAGCGGCAAGGGTGACACACTTGGCATTGAATGACCCCAATTTAACTTCTTCATAATTGTGTGTATCAAAGAGCAGTTATCAATAGAACATCATGTGCATATCTAACTTAAGATCAGGGATCGTGACAAAATATGAGTTGAAGGCAATGCGAAGACATGCATCTTTAATTCTAAGTTGATAGGCGTGCATTTGGTCCTGCTATGTTGTCTCTCAGCAGAGCGTTTTTTCGTCAAACTCCTTAGTCTGCACAAGTGACCCTAATGTTCGGGGATATTTATACTCATCCATATTCACGACATGTAGACAGTGGGTGAATAGCATTGCATGACGGGAGCTCTGCCGAGTCATTTTGAGCATCTCTTACAGTTTGAATGTGAAAAAGAATTGTTTTCTTTGCACCTTGTGCAAACACTGCACACAGCTTTTTTTTTTTTATTATTTCTTGACATTCTTGTTTTCTGTACAGATTTGCAGCGTTTCAGTGGCACCAGTAGTGTTCAATGGGGGGGGGGGGGGGGGCAGCAGAAGGGAGTGCTCAATTCTTCCATAAACGTTTTTGTGTATTGGTTTTTTATGTGAAACCAACTCAGTTCACCATACTTATGTGCGGCCCAGTTTGCCATACCTAAGTGCGGCCCATACTTAAGTGCGACCCAAACAATGGAAACAGCGGGGAAGAGGAGCTCTCTCACTCCCAATGCCCTTCTATTGCAGAACTCTTGGGCATGTCTGGGTACTTGGGTAGGCATAGAGACAAAGAGCCGCTGTTAAAAATATATATATATTTGTACACCTAATTTCAGGGTCACTGTTAAGTTTAATATCAGTACCTGCTTTTCTGCATTCAGTATTAGGCTTTCACTATTGCTGGTTCCTCACTATTTTGTCAGGCAACTGTGCAATGGATAAAATTTTTTAGAGTATTTGAATAGCACGTCAAGACAGATTGATGTAAATCTGCTTTGTATTTTGTTATGATATTATTGCAAGATATGATAGATCTCTACGATTAAATTTTTAAAAAAGTCAACTATTTTTTGTGGTACATGAACTTTGCTGTAATGGAAGAAATGGCCTTCCAATGGTTCATGTTTTCTTTTTACAAATGGTCTAATTGTTGACTTGGATAAACACAGATGCTGACAGTTGGCAAATTTTTACTGCCCATTGTGCAGTGGACAAATTAATCTACATGCGATTCCTGTTTGGTAGAGCTTCTTGATCTGTTTTTTTTTTTTTATGCATTCACTGTATGTGCACAATCAGTAAGCAGACTCTCCGTCTCCCCTTCTCTTGTGCGCAGCTGCAGAACATGTCTGGTGGCACCATGGCACCAGCCGGTGGCATGAACATGGCTGCTCCTGTTCCCAATGCAACGATGGGCATTGCTCCGGTGAGTGAGCATGGGCTGTTGCTTGCTAATATGCATTTCAGGAGTTGCTGTTAATATGGTGCACCGCAACTGTCTCTCAGAAAAGTTTGATTGTTTCATCTCTCTAGTTATTGTGTAATACAGTTTGAGCTTTTGCTTGGAGACTTTTGCTTGGAGTTGTCCCGAGAGCCTCCGGTCAGCCTTATTGGAGCATCTTTTGGATCATTAGATTATTAATGTAGATTGTATGGATGTACAGTGGTACATTGTGGGCTTTGGTTTTGGCAGTATGAAAGTGCATGATTAATGTATAGGCTTTCAATTATTCACTCAATCAATCAGTCAGCTTTTATTTTTGCCATGAACTATACAACTTGATTAGCGAATTGTAGAAGGCCAGAGAAAAAAGCTTTCATAGCTTGCATGCTTGACTATTCTCAAAATAAAGACTTTTGTTTGAGATAACTGTCTCAGCAGTAGGGGTCAAATATCATTTGTCAAGCTTTGTAGTATTTCAGTCCCATTGGCATTGTACTCATTAGGAAGTTTGAGTGCTGCCATTCTTTAAGGTCTTACCTGCTCAGGGTCTATAGATTGTGCTTCCCAGCTCTTAGAGCTATAAAATATTTTATGAGGCTTATATAGCTAGCTCACCTAGGACACTGTTGAGTAAAATGAATAAGGCAAATCTGTCTGGCAAGGCTTATTACTATAACAGTCATCTCAATAATATCATTCAGTTATTTGATAAGCCACGACATTTGCCACTCACACATCAGTCTGGTTCTCTACGCTGTATTTTATAGCCTCGCCAAAACTGTGGGAACACACAAACCTGCACCACTTATACCTTGAACTGAGCATGTTGCATACATTTGTGGACAGAAACCGCCCTTTTTGAGGCAGTAACTCAGGGTGCTTACCCCCCCCCCCCCCCCCCCCCCCCGGTGGTATGCATACTTGTTGGTGCTTTCTTATTCAAGCAAGATTTCTTGTGGCATGGCATTTTTTTTTTTACTCTGTGGCTCATTTGTGGATTCTGTTATCATCACCGTGAGCAGCCACATATGTCTGGACTGAAAGGATGTCCCTTACATGAGAGATTGGTGTAGTTTTCTATTAGATGGTAGCTACAGGAAATCACTGCTCATACTTTCTGAAAAACTTTTTTCTGACCTATCTAATCTGTAAGTTCTGATAGACAGAATTACTTGCAAAAGGAAGAATGTGTGGGCATCTTGAAGGGACACTCAAGTCAAATCACAATTTATGTCAGAGTGAAAGCTTGATGTTTGACAACATCTAAAACGACTTTATCATCAACAGCAGTGCCCCACGTAACGAGAAACTAAGGTAAACGCACAAGAATACATGCGCTGCAGTAGGAAATTCTCAAGATGATCCGATGACGTCAAATGAAATGCCAACAATAAACACAAGTAATCGGTCTAGCTGCACTAAATAAAGAACCTTTCGTGCATCAAGATACGCAATAAAATGCTGCTTGTTCATTTCTGTTTGACGCATGGAAAAAAGAACTGTCGAACGTTGCTGTGGAAAATTGTGCGAATGATACGAAAATTCAATTTTTGCGTGGTTAAACTGAACAGGTCATGCCATCTAGCGGGGCCCAGTTGCACCAAAACACGTCTGCCATCTTGAAACTAATGGCAGGAAATTGACCAATGGCCGTTGTTGCTGCTGTGGCACTGCTGCTTTCGTTCTGCTGCTACTATTGTGGGCGGCCGGGAAGCAAAGCCGGGCAACGTTGTGCACGGCAGCAGTGACTTTAGACAGTCCCCTTCATGTGGCAAATAATTTGAAGTGCGCTAACCCAATGCAGGCCACTAAAACGTCATTTTATTTCAAAATAAGCCCTTCCTTGGCATAAAAGTAACAATACGAGGTTTCTAGACTGCTATTTCAACAATCAACGTCAACTTCATAGTTGCCTTTATTGTCCCTTTAGGTAGCAGCAGGCAACAGGGGCATTGGCTAGCCTGCTTGCAGTGGCAGTAGAACATTTCTTGGACATTTGGCCTGTGGTTTGATCCTCACAACCTTTGCTAAACTGTTCATTTCATCATTTATGCTTCATGGCAATTATCTTTTTGTCCTGTTCGTAGTAAACATTCGACGGCTGAACCATGACGGTGCATGTTTCCTTTCATTTTTCTGAGGGATGCAGCTGCTATTTTCATCTCGGTCACATCTGTTTGACGGGTGTTACTGGCACAGCTGGTCCAGTGCAGGGCATGCATAGTAAGGAGCTCGTTTCTTGGATAGGAAAAGAAAGGGTTATCTTTTCATTTTATTAGTTCTGTGCCTTTGGTTGGCAAGGTTGTGAGCAAGGTCGCCATCATTCAGTTTTAATTATTTTTGTGTTGTACTTCGACATTTATCTACCTTGAAAAAGAGGTAGGCTCACAGTGAAGAAATATCTATAGGTTACGTAAAAAACTCCACATGAATATTTTTGATGGTATACCTCGCTTTCGATTTCGCTGCCTCTAGTCAGTTAGAAAGCTGCATGTATGTATCCCAGTGGATATCAGCTCCTTTCACAGAGTGTATTTATTTATTTACAGGTATCTTGCAGAGCCCTCTTGAGGCATTGCATAAGAGAAGCAGTAGAATGATTACACACACAGGAAAGAGAAGTAGAGAGGAAAAACAGGGAAGTTAATCAAGATATCAACTACGTAAGCACCTCAATGAAATATCAGCCGACGTGAAAAATATCACAATTACAGATTCCCATAGTCATCTAAACATGTTTGTGGCCGTGCATATTGATAATTATCACAGATTATTCCATTACACGAAACAAACTTGTTTGCTATAACGATTCATGTATACATGAAAATAACGACTTCATGCATATCATTGCTTACAGTTTGAAAAACTCATAGACACCTCAATCGCTGAATTGAGATTGAATAAAAGCAATGTTATATTTTTTCAGTCTTTCGGGTAAATCGACAGTGTCATGTTTTTATTTTTTTGTTTTGTTTTACAGTGACGCTGTAAATAGCTTGAATTCAGAATTTTAGGTTGCCCATGTGTAAAACCCTTTCCCCTAAAGAGGCATAGACGCAATCCACATCTGAGTGCAATGTTTGCTCCAGTTGGAAATCAATCACTAGAACATCTCTCATTTTACGTTCTGCTACACCAGCTGTATCAAAGCTGACGTCAGGCTGTGCATTGCTGAATAGATTAATCGGGCCACATTACTGGCTGCTTTCGTGTGATGGGACAACACATTGGTGCTGGATTCCCTCTGCACATTCTCTACAATATACTGAGCATCGAGTTGCTTCAATGCTCAAAACACACTGCTATATTGCCAGTTGTTTCTCCAGGTTGAGGACCGACTACTCAGCTGTGCAATGCTGTTGGCAGCTTCCCCTGCACTAGAGCCATTGCAGAATGTCTTCAACAGCATCGCTGTAATGCACGAATCAGTGTTTCTTATTGTGCAAATTCTCAAACAGGAGGTGTTGCTTTCCCAGCAGTTTAATGATGATTTTTGTGCTTGTAACGATTTTACACAGCAGTGTTCTGCCAAACCCTCCTCCTTAACATTGATATATCACTTGTGATCGATAGAGTTTCCCGAATGCTCTGTAAAATGTGTAAAAGCGCCTTGGTGCTTAGCAGCATCAAGGAAGAGTGATTTCTTCTTTTTGATGGCTCTAACAATTACTGTTGTATTAATTTTGGCCCCGAATATTATTATCCTAGTAAGGTGCTCAATTTTGCAACAGTAACTGATAAAAATTACTGTACATGTTTCCTTAGGCAGTAGAGTTGCATACAAGTTTCTCATCTCGTGTGCCCAAACAAGCCAAGGTGGTGGGGCCGCTTGTCAAGTTTGCACAGGTCAATTAGCCATTATGGTCCACTCGTGCAGTCAGTCCGATTCTTTGGGCATTCTTGAAGACCACTTAGTTGTGAGCTAAACCCATCTGTGCTGTCAGTAGTCGTTTAGGCATGTTACGAGCTCAGCTGCTACATACACAATGGGTCTGTTCAGTTCTACATTAGCCCAGACCGAGCAGTATATTTTTTTTTCGCCCCGCCGTGGTGGTCTAGTGGCTAGCAGTATTTTTTCTTTGTAGGGGTGGCTGGGTGCCACGGGGTTTAGATGCTCCGTTGTTCTTCAGTTCGTTCTGGCCCAATAAACTGGGACGCACATTATGGAGCCGAATGCCCTATGATGAGGATAAGTGAGCGCGCGCTTGCGTCAAGGAGAAGTCTTCTTTTTCTTGTTCTGGGAGGGCCTTGATGGTGATCGCTTATTGAAGCGTACAGACACGAATGTACAACAGTGAACAACGTTTATTGGGAACGAGGCTTTTTATAGCCTCTGAAGGGTATGTGCACACAACGTGCGCAGTGGCAGTGACATGTGCAAATGACGATGCATCAGCCTTCTTTCCCCTTAAGGCTGGTAGCGATCCGGCGGGCGTCGGTTTCTGGTGGACCTGCGTAACATGGTTTCGCCAGGATCGAACTCTTTATTGCCATCAGATTGCGCGCCGCTGGCGTCATTTCCAACCTGGTTATCATGCGTATTTGGTCGGCTGTCTGTGTCTGGCGCACCTGGGCTCTGGGGTTCTCTTGAGGCCAGTGTTGCACCGGTTTCGCCAGCTTCCGTCTGCGGTGCCTCAACCTCGGGCTCTTGCTTGACTTCTGCTTCACCGGCAGCGAGTCCCGTGCTGTCGGTTTCTCTTCCTCTCAACTGGTCATAATGCCGGCGATGATGTTCGCCGTCTGCGGCCTTGATGGTTACCATGCGGTGGCCTTCGGGGGTCTGTACGACGCCAGCCTTCCACCTGGCTCCTGTCCCGTAGTTCCTGTACCAAACAGAGTCTCCAACTTGGCGAGTGGTTCCGGGGTGCTCCGTATCTGCGTGAGAAAATGGCCGACATGACACGATGTTATCCAACTTGCATCGAGGCTCAAAACCCAGCAGCATGAACGCTGGCGTTTTCCCGCTGGGTAGAGGGGTGCGG